TTATAGTTTCATCCTGGGCTGATGTTATTTTTTGTCTGTCTCAATGGCTGGGCTGGTTTTGTGCTATGAATTCTAACTGTGCTATGAATTCTAGGATAGGCAAGATGATCTGGAAGTTCAAAGTTTCTGTCTAAGCTACTCAATTTCTGCAGTGTTGTGTGATATTGGTGAGTTACTTAAGCCTAGGGTCATCTCATGCCTCTTTAAATGATTTATGAGGAGACATGCGTACATAAGGGGGTTTTCCCCCTTCTGCAGGATCTAAATTGCCCTAGGACATGCCTTTTTCTCTCCTTTAACAAGTGATTCAGGCATCTCAGTTAAGAGTCTGTAGAAGGGCTAAGTGCAGACCCCATTACCTTCAAAGGAATGGGAATACAGCGCTTCCTTGCCTCAGGGTTTTGTGAAGATGAACACAACAAGGCCTGTGAGGTGCTGAAGTGCACAGGCAGTGCAGGACCACTTGGCTCACTTGAAACAGAAAGAAGGAGGAAATTATAACGCTAATATCTCTCTTAAAATATCTGAAAATAGTTTTTGCTTGCATGAGGATTTTATCATCTTAAATCTTGCTAACCAATTTGTATACCATGAGGGAAGCCCAGATTTCCTCCTTTCTGCTGTGGTGAAGCCAGTATTCCCAGGTGTAGTGTACAGAAAACATCAATTATCTCTCTGTTTTGAAATATCACTAATCCCAAAGAAAATACTATTGATCCTGGATTTGAGTTCATCTCGTTTGGGATTAAATCCTGTAGATTTTGGTGGGAAGTAAAATGTTTCTGTGACACAACAGTTCAAAGGAAAAATGAAGCCAATCACGGATATAATCACGCTAGAAACAGCTTCAGGAAGCATGAGCAGACTACCAGTTTGTGAGTGAAAGGTACATGTTATGTGCCGTTTATCATATAGGTTGACAATCTATCGCATGAATAGAAAACACCACTTCATCTCATATAAATATATTAGTCAGACAACTAGACCTGGTAAATGATGAGGATTTATGGTATAGTTCAGTACCTCCTGGCCTGCTTGTGCCTCTGAGTCCAGTCAAGCCTCAAAGGCCGCTTTGCCTGAAATGAAGTCTGATCACCTGCCACAGCTGGTTGCCCAGAGAAGTAACTTAGCAAATGCATTATATTTTTTGATATATCTATCCCTTTGTTTTGATATCATGCATGTCATGGCTCCCTTTGCTTGCTGCCATTTCTATTTCTGAAAGAAGTAGTATCATGGTGCTAATTGAAAGAACTTGCTGTTTCCCACTGTGACATGTCCCAAGAGAACATCTACTGTACACAGTCTCAAAAGTACATCTCTTTTCAACTGTGAGAGTATTTCCTAGAGGTAAAATTTCCCACATGGTCAGTGGCAAGTAGCCTTAGCACAGAAAATCTTGTAGAAATAGTGAATCTCATGCTAAGCATATTCTTGCTTTTGAGAAATACATGCTGTCACTCTAAGAATAAGAAGTGTTCACTATATTAAGCTTATTGTTACAAAAATAATGGACGTGTTCCAAATGGAGATGCCATCTTTTTATTAAATCCAGATGGTATTAGGATCCTCATTTTAATGGTGCGCTGTGTTTGAGTGAACATCTGTTTACATAGATATGTCAGTATTCCCAGTATCAACCCTTGTTTTCTGTGAGGCATAACGTGGGAGCAAACTTTAACCCACGCTATAAATTCTTTTTCTATAAATAATGGATACACACAATATGCATGCTGTAGATAAGATTATATCATTGGAGAAAATTTATGTGATCATGTAACTGAAAAATAAGATAAGAAACTTATAAATAGACAAATTTAAGGTTATATATTTAACTGTCTTAGACAATTCGCTTGAATGTTGTGCATCCTTAACATTCTTCATTTTAAATATGTGTATGAAATAATGGCATGTGACTGTTTGGGAATTCACTTTGCAGTATTTTCTCCACTTTCTGTTGTTGTCAGGCATCAGAAAACATACATGTTCAAACATCAAGGTAACCATTTCCAAGGACATGATTTTTGGGTGTCCGGAGGAGAGAAAGGAAAGAGAGATTTGCTTATTTATTCAGCATTTGAAATTATCTGCAGTGTTCCATTATACTTGGTAGCTGTAACAATTTCACTTCAAAAATAGCAAAAAAAAACCACAGCAACAACAGAATTGTCCTTGAAATAGATTGGATACAAGAGAAAAGTAGCTGGCTACTACTATTATCACCTGAAGATTTCTGGGCACTGATTTTTCCAGACCATGAAGTCCTCAGGTGGCAGTTGCATGGACTAGCTGTTAGCGTCACAGTGCATAATCCAGTGCAGCAATCAGCACACTGGTCCTGATATTTTGTGCATGTCATGCTATTAGCTTCAGTGAGATAGCTGGTGAGCTTACACGTTTTGCTGGACCAAAGCCAGAGCGCCTAACATGTCCAGTATTGCTCCCAAGATGAGGGACATCTTCTCAAGGTAGATCATACGTGCTCGCTTTCTGAGGCATACTGCTTCACCATTGCAGGCTAGGCCCATCTTTAAAGCAGACTACTTGCCAAATACAGAGTAACAACACTAGAGGTTGGGAGAGGCCAGGTGAGAGTCTGAGCATGCCTTCCCTTGGGTCCCAGCACTAGCTACAGAATTGGCTATGAGCCATGAGAGGTGCAAGGGAGAACCTCCAGGACCATCAGCACGGGTGCAGGCTCACAGAAGTCTGGCAGGGCAGAGACAAAATCATGACCCTGAGAAGTGCAGCAGGAAGAGCAAGTTACCCTTTCCACATAGCAGGAGGGAACTTGTGCTGATTGCTGCTCTCCTTCACCTTTGTCAGCAACTTTGTGGCTTTCACAATCAAAATATGGGGGCCTCAAGCTGTGCCTCCTCCTTTTCCCCCACTAAGGCTTGTTGGTGCTCAAAGCCATAATGTGGCCCAAAAATTATTCTGTAATTCTTAATTAAGTAATACCCTCTTAGCTTGCAACTCAAATATAATCCAATAATGATTCAGTGACTACCTGGTTAATAGCTGCTGTGCAATTATAAACTTCTAGCCCAGTCGTTTGTATGGAAAGCAAAACGATAAGGTATTCTTGAAAACTGCTTTGCTGTATTTTTAACCATATAAACTTCAGGTTGATTGATAATTCTGATAAGGACGTGCTAATGTCTCTGTTTAAGGAAGAAACAGAAATTATAAATATTCTTTCTAGTCATTGTCAATATCAGGGTTTAATTCAAAGACTATTTGAACATGCTTTGCAAAATAAAGTATGGGCTCAGCTGAATGACGAGCTATAAAGCAGAATGAATGAAATTCCAACAAGATGTAAAAGAACTTCTGATTTCTGTTCCACCAAAAGAGAACTTGATTTCAGTAGAAGTTTTGCTTAAGTAAAGATCTGTCAAGATTTGAACTCTCATGTTTCTAAAAGCAGTCTCTCTTGGGGGGATGTTTTAAGATCTCTGTAGAGCAATAGCAAGGAAGAACCAGAAGCTGATCCAAAACTCATTGAAATCAAAGGACATGTTTCCATTATTCAAAAGAAGATTAAAGAGTGATATACAGCAAAATATCAAGAATTATTCCATCAGGCTTTACAGGAAAGCATTCAGCTGTAAGCATTATTTTTGACGGCAACCAATTAGGCTTATGGTTCCAAGAACAAGCGCTTTTCTTCTTGACACAGTATAAGAACAAGAAACTCCCATATTTTCCAATTTTTTTCATAAAAGTAATGTCATAAACTATATCATTCTGAACAGGACAAAAACGAGAGATTTTTAAATCTGAAAACATGTATATAATTCATAAACTGTTTCACAAAATAAAATGAACCCTAATTTTTGTCAAAACTTGTAAAAATTCTTATAAAATCAATAAAAAGTTTTTTCTTTACTTATTTTCTTCTGGCTAATAGATCATTCTATCTTTATTGATTACTTTTAAGAAATAAAGTATAAAAATGATACCTTTATTAATAATCTACATTTTAGTGCAACTCAAACAGAACTTAGTTTGACGTTTTAAGACCATATATAATTTTCATCCTCATTATATTTTGTAGGACATTTTACAGCAGGGATACCCATTTTTTTCCTTTTTAAAATGCCTTTTAAATAATCTAGCCAATTGTTTGTCTTTAAAATAGTTTAGTCCAGGGAAGCATAGAGGTTTGGCCAGAAGCATAGGGGTTTGGCCCCTTTTTCTCTCCCTTCTTTTCCCAGGGCTGAAGTTTTATTCTCTTAAAACTACACATTTAAGTGACTCATGACTGGAGTACTTTCTTTTGGGATGCCAATTTTGACTTTGAAGGGGCTTGATGTTCATAGGAGCCAAAAAATACCTTTTTTCTGTTAATCTGACATCCTTTGGATTTCTCAAACTGGGTATCCAGAAGTGTAAACCCTATTAAAAACGTAGGTTTAATTCTGTCAGCTGCAGCTCAATGAATAATTTCAGTGCAAAATTAAACTGGTACAGATACATAAGTCTCATGGCATTGACTAATGTTCAGTTTCAGATGTTACTTTTCCAGCTGCCTGTCCCATGCCACTACCAGAGATTACTGTCTTCCAACAGGGGCAGCAGAATGGGAGTTGCTCAGTTCAGGGTACTGGTTTAATCTGTTACTGAATCTAGTCCACTGGAGCTGTATATCTACAGATAGCTTGAAATACTGCTTTTAATAAGGGATGGCCGCATGCGTCACATTGGAGCATTCATTACCTCTGAAACTTTGTGATTATTAAACATTGTGATTGTTGACAGTTTCATTGCTAGTCTGGAAGTGGAAAAAGGAGAGAGAGAACCATAATACAATGGCCTGTCTGTCTTATCTGTTTCCTTGCAAGTGCTTTCTTTTAATCTCTTGTCCGGTGACTTGAAGGAGTAGGGTTTGGGAAATCACTGCTACTCTCTCTGCCCCACTTCCACTCCTTGTTGCCTCACGCTGCAAGTTCCCATGTTCTCCTTATTCTCTCTGGGTTGCAAGAGGAACTGTAAAGAACGTGTCTTAACTATCTGAGCTGGATGAGGATGACTTATGCTATGAATTTCGTCGAGAACGTTTCACCGTCCATCGCACTCATTTGTATTTTCTGCATTACGAATATGAGCCTGCTTCAGACAACACTGATGTAACGCTGGTGGCTCAGCTTTCAATGGACAGGTAGGAAAGATCTTTGGTTCATCAGGAAGTGAAGGACAAAGAATACGTTCTTACTACCTAAGAACTTTTCCAGAAATCCAGCTTTGTGATGCTTCAGGGAGAGAAAAATTTTACTTTCACAGAAAACTTAAGTGTCATGCTCTAAGACCTGTCTTAAATTAGGAGCAGCACATGTAGATATTACATCTACATGTATCCATACTTCAGCTCTGCAGTGCACATCAGGGTGTGGAGAGAGTTCATAAGAGACTGAATACTGTAACAACAGAAGTTGTTACCTGTCAGGATTGAAAGGCATTTTTAGTGTATGGATTTTTGCAAGAACTTAGGAAAAAATAGGAGACATTTTTGATGGATTTAAGCATACAATGGTAGCTGGTCACAGGTTTTCATACACAGTATTTCTTCATTAGGCAATGTTAGTTTTGGTTTCATTGACGTTTTCCTTGCAGAAATTTCAATTAATGATTTGCTTTTCTTATAGTGAGGGTCAAAACTGTGAATACCTTTGTTTCGAATTGCGTGATTTAAAATAAATTCTTTTTAATTTCAAGGTGCTAGTGTGAAATTAAAAATGTCCTTTTGAGAGGATTCATTGCATTTTCATACAAATGTTGATTTTCAGGGTAATATTTCCAGTTTAACTCTTTCCAGCTTTCAATTCTGATGTAAAGTGGAATTTAGCTTTCAAATGCCAGTATTTTCTTTGGGGAAAAAAAATCCATTGCATGACAAGCTCTACCTGCACCTCTCTGATTCCCACCATTGCACTGAGCTGGCACCTTTCAGAAGCTCTGAAAGCACGTTCCAAATCAGCCAACTCAGTTTTATTTTGAATTGGCCAGTCTCTTTTTCCTTCTGCTTCTTAATTCACACCTCATCCAGACTTCATTGTTGCTGCTGTCAGAGTAGGTTACAAAACAGAGAAGTACTTGAATATAAGCAGGCAACTGATATTTCACTTAGCAGTGCACATGCAGAATGCAACATGACACGTAAACGCCGCCGCTGTCGCACCGGTGGAAGGTCGGCAGTATTCCAGGGAGGGTCAGAGGAATTCAGATCAACCAAACTTTTACAGTCTGTTTTAAAAATAAACACAAACGAGGGCTGTTTTGTTTCGCCAGTACCTCGGCACTGCATCCCGCACATTCTATTATGATTTGCTGTGCTCATCGGTGCCTGTTCTATTGATTTTTAATTGAGGAAACATTTCATAAGTGTTCACAAACCTTTGAGTAAAAAACTAAAGAAATAAATTAAGCCAGACCCTGAGCAAATGCCACAGTAAATTAGTAAAGCTGGTGTGTGCGCATGGTATATTTTCCCTCCAGAATTTAATTCAAAAGAATGAGCTGCGGCTTGGTGCTGTTTCACTGGCACTGATGCAAAGTCTGTGCATCTGTTTCCCTTTCTGGATCCTCACTGGGGCACATGTTTTTATTGATAGACAGAACCACACATTTTTATTCAGAAAGAACAGCCCTCCTGATACTGTGCAGTAAAAATCTTTCCTGCTTTGTTGGTATGTTGCTATAAATTATTGATTTGGGTTGGAAATACTCTCTTTCAGCTAAAATCAATAAATAATATCATACCAAAGAAGTGTTTAGCTGTTTTGTTTTCTTTCACATCTTTCAGTTACTGCTTTACTTTTTGGAGTCTTCTTTAGACCACATTTATTAAACTCCTCCAGAGTAGCTATAGACATTTACACATAGCGTCTCAAATGTAAGGTGGCACGTACATAAACAGAGTGCTGTATCCTACACCTCTGCATCATTCGTTCAAGTGATTGTCTGAAATAAGGAGAGCCAAAAAAGCAACTCTCGGTGTAGTTCCCGTCCTGTTGGAGCTGAGGCTGACATGACTATGGTGACAGGTTTATGTGTGTTTGTGCTGTAGGCTTGGGGAATGGAGAGCAATGGTGCATTTTAGGAGCTAGCAGTAATGCCTGCAGCTCGAAGCTTTGAGGGAGACTTCATTCAGTGCTGTTTGTTATTGGTTAACCGTCACGTTTTGTACTGATGTGACATTTTCTCTAATAATGGCTTGGTTGCATGACTGGCTATGTATGTGATTTTCAAGAGGGCGTTTTGACTAGGCAGCCTTTTAAAAGGCGTGGTACATACCTAGGATTCAGAAATCAGAATGAGAGTTATAAAAACACAAGATCAGAATGTGGACAGGGAAAGACACAACTAGCGTTAGACTGCTTGAAATCAGAGTAAGAATGGATTATAACTTGGTTATAATCCATTATAACCAAGCTTAAGAACACTGGTTCTTAAGAGGAAAAATGGAAACAAAGAATCTCACAAAATTATTGAATTCCAGTAAAAGTCTCTTGACTGAAACAGACCTTAAAAAAAAAAGACAAGAAAAAGAAAAATGTACCACCTAAATAATGATCTTATTATTATGCAGTACTGGGGCATATTTATCTCCCTAGATTCCTTAAGAGGAAGCGTTCCACAAGACCAGTAAAAAAAGCAACATTATTGGTGATGGTATGCTTAGAACCTTGTAATTCTAGTTTTTATGGTCAAGAGAGACTGTTCTAAATACCTACAGAGAGCAGATTATGGAACATCACCCAGCAGCCCCTGCATGAAACTCACAGAAGTGGAGCTTGTCAGAGAGAAAGACAGTGAAATGGAGTATTCGGAAGGGAACTAAGCTGCCCAGCTGGAAATTTATACCAGCAAAACCCAGTTCCCACTTAAATATCATGAAAAGCTTTTCAGGCTTTATCAGGTGTGCCATTTAAATAAGTTATGTATGTCATTTGTCCACTGCTTGGAGTCCTTGAAAGGCATTCTGCTGCATTTCTTTTGAGCAAGTATTCCGTTTATAAAAGGCTGCCCTAAAGCTGAGTGGCAGTGAATTGGATTCTCCTGATTAATAAGTTTCCACTGTGTTGGAAAAAGGTGAAAAGCATATACTTTTCTCTATTTATTATTTACACAATCAAAAGCCTAAAACCGTCACATACTTTTCAGATCTTTTTTATCAATTTGTGTTGCTAGTTCAGCTGTATGTTTCAAGCTGATAATAACCTTTGTTTCGATAACAGATAAAAAGAAAATAATGTACTGGGTATAGCTTAGTAAAGGTAATATCTCCTATCTGAGAAAAAACGATTATATCTTCTTAGATGTCATCAGCATCATTCAGAAACGCAGGAAAAAGCTATTAATGTTAAATCAGAATTTGTAATTGCTGCTATGAGTACATCATTCCTTTTTGCTGCAAAGCATAGGGAGATAGTAAAAGGGGGGAAATATTTTCTTTGATTACAGTGATGCAGAAAACTTTTTTTGTGTTCTGTATGACTATTAATAGGAAAAATCTACTAATGTGGATTTGGAAGGTAGAGAAGATAATCATGTTGCCTAGTCTGCCCTTCCTAATTTTTAATAGAATGTCTGGCTAGGCTGCATAGCTTCATTTCTCTTCATATTAACTGAAAAGGCTTTGTAATCAGTCCTTGCTGTATTTTGGGGTGGCATATCTGAATATCTGGTCAGTTCTGTATAAATTTGCCAAAATGCTTGAACTATTTTGACCAGGATTAATTTGATTTAAATTTGTGTAGGAGATCTTTTGTTGTCATTTTCATCAATAATGTTGTAACTGGTGCGAATTTGAAAGTATATGCATTGATACAGCTTATTTTAAAAGTCATTTCATGAAACATGAATAGGTACTGCTGTAACATATACAGATTAGTATTTGAAAGGATGTTTTTGTTTGAAATGTTTTTTGTTTATACTTCATGGCCACGCCATGTCGTTCGTTCCCTCTCTCCTCACTCTGTATGCTCAGTAAATCCCATTTCTATTGATGTGCCATCCTTTGGCCCTTTCCCTGGCAGCGAGTTTTGTTTTAATCAATGCAAATGTTCATATAACTCAGTATTCCCTTGACCCATCACTTTTAACAACTTTTAAGATCTGACTCACTGCCTTGCAAAAATTTTGGGACGATTTTCCTAAAGAGCAGATAAAATGGTCTGTGGGTGTGTACAGCTTTTGTCTTCCACAAGCTTGTTGAAGAGCACTGTAGTGTGTTAGTGTGTGAGAATACCTTGACCTGAAGTGTAAACCGGGCACTAGGCACTCCTTAAGATTACAAGACCCCTGTCCTGTAAGTCGATCCACATGGACAGATCCCTGCAACCGCTCAAAGCTCCCATCAGAAGAAGGCAATCGACTTTTTGGGTTTTCCTACAGCATCAAGGCTTTAGGAAGAAAGAGTGGTGATAATTTCACTTGACTTTAGTATTTGCATTGTGTAGGTTTGTATCTGAGCTAGTGCCACTACAAGACACCCTTGTATTCAGTGGAGAGAAATAGCCATATCTGTGGTGCAGTTCATCTGTCCAGAAAGAAGCATCAACTTCGATGAGATGAATTGTGCTGTAGAAATGCTTATTGCTTTCCACAGGATATAGAGTGACCCCAATCTGTCTCGCTTAGATATAGATAACTGTATTTGATCAGATGAATCACAGGCAAAGAGTCCCAGACAGGGAGACATCCTTTTCTTATTCTCCCCCTCTCTCTTTCAGGCTCCAGATGCTTGAAGCCATCTGCAAACACTGGGAAGGTCCAATCAGCCTGGCACTCTATCTTTCTGATGCGGAAGCCCAGCAGTTTCTGCGCTATGCCCAGGGCTCAGAAGTCCTTATGAGCCGCCACAATGTCGGATACCACATCGTGTACAAGGAGGGCCAGTTCTATCCTGTGAATCTTCTGCGGAACGTGGCCATGAAGCATATCAGCACACCATACATGTTTCTCTCTGACATTGACTTCTTGCCCATGTACGGACTCTACGAGTACCTTAGGTAAACAATGCAGTGCTTCCCACTGCCATACATTTTTCCATTTCTTCCACCACCCACCCTTCTAACGCATTGCTGAAATAATGCAGTTTGACCAGGTCTAAGAGAGGGCCTAATAAACAGCTTATAGATGTTTGATGTGGCAATGCCCAGCAAGGGACAAAAGTTTTTAGGATAGAAGAAGAGGCTGTAACTAGAAGTAAGGCAATACAATTAAGAAAGAAAACGTCAGATCTAAATGTGTGCTCTGTTAGCCATCAGAATAGTTCCCTTACAGCAGCAGAAGAAGCAGTTTGAAAATTGAACTGGACTAAGCACTATTAAATGTGCAATAGCATCCTATAGCAGTAGAGATGTGAACCAGGCAACTTTCCTAAACATTCCTGGTTCTCAGTGTCAGTGACAGAAGAAAGCATGCAAAACGTTACTGAAATTGTCCCTGTGACGCACTCTTAATCCAGTTCCTTACCTTGAAAATAGAGTGATAGTCTAATCAGCTCAATAATATGATTGCGAGGCCGGCACCTGTCAAGGCAAAATAATTAGTGCAAGGAAAGTGGGAAGAGTAACCTCAGTGTATATTTTATCATAATGAATGTGAGCAGGTTGGGCTGAGCGAACTACAGCCCTCTCATCCATTAACACGGCTTCTTTTGATAAAGACCTTTTCCCCCTTACAGAGGCTGGTCATTTGAGGGCAAAGAATAGAGCAAGGAGGACGCCCTGTGGCCAGAGAGGAGGATTTCATTTTCTTAATCCCTACCAGTTTTGCTCTTCATCTCTGTTTAAATTTGGTAAAGGGCTCCAATGAGAGTCTGCCTGTAGGTATTCCATTAAGTGCGTAGTGCACGCCCGTGTTTCCGGAGTGTAAAGAGATATACACCTTCCTCTATCATAAACTTACGGACAAATTCCTTTGTTTCAGGCTTGCAGCTGAGTTTCTTCTCTCTCTCACTTCCATCTCACGAGGAGATTTAACTGCCTTTTTTTTTACTTTCTACAGGCATATGCTGGGCCAAATCCACTATGTCTTTTGAATCACAGGGGTCCAGTAATATCATTTAAGTTGTACTCCATTGTGTCAGCTTGTTTCTCACTTATTTTAGGGATATTTCTTTGTGGCTTAGGCTATGAAGGCTACAAAATAATTCTGTCCCTGCCACAAAGTAGCTGTCTCAGGATGTGTATGGGGACTATTGTTATTAGCTTTTCTGTTCTTTTATGTTACTGTTGAATAGGATACATTTCTTCAGATTGATGCTGGGCACAGTGAGGAGAGCGTCTGTTGATACTGGCATGTATTAGCAAAAAAGCAACTTGTTCCTCCATGCTGCTTCACAGTGCACTGATGGGAGCCAACACTTAAAGGAAGACAGGAAGAGAGAAGACAGAATGATGTGCCACAGTATGCTTGAGATATTACAGCCATGGAAATTATTCTTGGATGATGATAATGAATTGTAGGACTAAATGCACAGTGATGCCACCTATTGGTGCCATCCAGAAAGAAAACAGATTTGCATTGACAGTTGTTGCATCTGAGGCCCTGTGTGACTCTACAAGTCTTTTTGTGAGTCTCATGCCAGCTTAACCCTGATTATGAGCCTCTGCTGCCCAGGAATATCGAAATTGCTAATCTGCTAGTGCTAGCTCTTTGAAAAGGGATTGGATTTTTCTGTGTATGGGCAGGAGTCGTTTGTAGTTGCTTAAATAATGATTTTTTTTCTGAGCAAAATAGCAGGGGGTGCTATGAGAATATTTTAAATACTGATACCCTGCACCTTTCTGCATTGACTCTGCAGATAGCTGATTAGTGCTAGCTATCTGAATGGTAGCAACTGTTTTTCAGAGAGGCAAGCAAACATTTTCATCTTCATTTTCTCAGACGAAATAACTGTAAGCGAATAGAAATAGTGTGGTGTTTCAGGCATGGCTTTGTACAGGAAAAGTCACAGAGGTCCTCACTTGGTAGTTTACTGGTTTACATATACTATAGATTGTGTATTCTAAGAAAGAGAGTAATTTTGAAAGACATTTTTGACATATTTTGAAGGCATTGTGTGGGAAGGGTTGTAGCCATTTTTGAAGGAGGAGCTGATGGTTAGTTGTCGATCCGTGTATCTGTTACTAGTACTTAAACTGAGCTTTTCCACAGCTGTTAAGTAAGGCCATTTCAATGCTTGTAATCTCCACTGAAACCGCTTTCTGTCCTGCCTTGCTCTTCTGCAAACTACACAGGGAAAGAAATGTACCATTTAAAGATTTCCTGTTTACAAAATTCAGACGCTTCTGTGGTCTGTGCTAAGTAGAAGTCTTTTGTCACCTTCAGTCATTAATTACTGAGGTCATCTTGCCATTGCCACAGAGCTAAAGGCTCTTTCTGATTGCTGTATGTAAGGTCTGTGGGTCAGTCTAAAGGTTCTTGTAAAATAACTAGACAGGCTGTTTCTTTATAGTATCTACAGTTGTCAAAGCTAGCATTAAAGTTCCTTCCTGATACATTCGTGTAAAATAGGCCCTTTGCTTCCAGTGACACATTTAGCATGAATTGGGAGCTTGCATCCTACCTCTATCCACAGGATTTTTACCTGTTCCTTCCAATATGAATTGTGAAGTTGCTCTTTAGCATCTCAGCAAGAGACATGCTTCATGTTGTGACTGTTACTTTTTATTTGTTGGATGCATTCATAGGTCATGCATTCACTGTTTTTGCAGAGAGAAAGAATGTTCTAATGAATTTAACACTGGACTGACAGCTCTTCAGTTCTTACTGCAAGCTCTGTGACTGCCTTGTACTTTGTTCGCAAACCAATCAATTAGGGTCCAAATGATGAAAGCCAATCTGAATTACTGGACTGATTTTTTTTCCAAATTCAAGGGCTTAGGATTAGGTTGGTAAACTTTCTCTGTCCGAGCTTTCCCATCCTCCAAAAATGGGGATGATGATATTACTGTCTGTCCACATGGCGAGGAGAATTATTTGTTAATTTTTTGGAAAGGAATGTGAAGATGAAAAGACTGATATCAACATGCTAGAGTTAGTTCAACCTCCGAGGAGACTCTTGTGGTTTAAGATTCATTTCTTCCATGCCTTGCAAAATATAGGGTTTATTAGTAGATTAGAAATTTAGCCCAGCCTTCACTGTGTCATTCTGACATACATCAGGTCTGCACACAAAGATGCCTGGGAGACGGTTTCCTGGACAACACTAGCAAAGAGAAAGCTCTTCACAAAATCGTATATCCTTATTTTGGACTTGGAGAGAAGGACAAACATGGAACAACGGGCACCGAAACTATGTTACTGACTCCAAAAAACAGCCCTCACAAGGATACTGTAGGAATTAAACAGTTTCCCCAATGCTGGTTTGCAAAATAACCAAATGTATTATTGGCATTAAATTTCCCCTGTTAGTGCTGAAAGATATGTGGAATATTCCTCTTCCACATATAACAGAACCAATCAACCAGCAAAAAACACCTCCAATCAAACAGGGAAAAAAAATCACCCCTCAGAAAAGGAAAAACAAAGTTGTTTCTGATAAGAGGAGGTTAGATTGTAATTAGGATGATGACTCTAGAAAATGAGTCCCTGAAAAATATTTGATTTATAAAACTGAGAATGTGAAGTGAAAGGCAACAAGAGGTAAAACTCTTAGCTTTCCATGCTGCTCTGGGTAGGCTTGTGTTATTTATGTATGGGACTTAAGATAGGCCTTTTACTTAAAAGCAAGTAAGGATCAACAACATCAAAAGAAGTATGTTCTGAGCTATACCTGTGGTCCATCTTGCTAACATTTACATGTGGGTTACCATGTTTTCTGCATAGCTAAGGAGCAGACCACCAGCTAAGGTTCCTGGAAGAAAATGAAAAGTGTTTTCTTCTCTACCAAATCCTCCCTGCCTTTATCACATCTAACATGGCCTTTGTTGTTCTTTATCACTCAGGTTCATCATCTGGATGTCATCACTGATTCCTTCTTCCCCTTACTTTAGTCTGTTATGTCATCTGGCCCCCATCAAAAGCATGCTGTTCTTCTACTTGGAGATCCATGCTGCTGGAATTCTTGACTGAGCCTATCTCAAGACTCAGCTCAGTTATGGTGAACCCCCTCCACTTTGGCCATAGTAATATCCCCCTCAGATGCTCACATATCACTTGAAATTATTTTTGCATAGATTATCCCGCTATGTTATTTCACTCTTGAAATACCTTCACCAGTTCTCTGTGTTTGACTGCATCCACCACAACTATCTTGCTTTCAAATGTCTGCTTCTCTCCACTTACCTGTCTTTTCATCCTTACTTTTGACTGTGCTAGTGATTTCATCCTCATGTATCTGCCTTTTCACGCTTCTTTTCACTTTTCTTTGTAAGGGTACTGTCATCTACTCTTTCCAACAAGAGATCCAAGACCCAGTTCTGCCGTTGACACCTATACTGAGTTTGCAGTTGATAAAAGTAGGGAACGTGCAGCAAGGATTATTATATCCACATCATTTTTTGCTTATATCCCATATCTTACAAAGTGGGTCACGCTGAACACTAGTTTCACCACAGCTTACTCCACCTGACAGTCTCTGTTGTTACCCTTGCGTGATACCTACACCTACTTCAGCTTTGTCCTACATCAGTGTGAACTTTTCTGGGCAGGATTGTCTCCAACTCTTTGCACAGTGCCAAGCACAGTGGGACCTTGTTTTTTGCCTGGGACTTTTGAGCTCTCCAGCAGACAAAAAGAAAGCAACAGCCCTAGACTGAAGCTGCTATGTCCTTGCAGAACCTGAAGGGTGAGCATCACTGCAAGCATTACCTGCTTCTTCCTAGAAACACCCAAAGATGCGTAGCTCAAGGCTGACACTTTGAATAGCATCCAGAAAGCCGAAGATATGGTCGGAGAGACTATGTTAGCGTGCACTGCTTGCAGAGAAGGTGTGAAGGGGAAGAATCATTAGGAATGCCATCAAGACTGGATGCTGGCACTGCTCAGTGACTCTGGAAGGTCGAGGAGGCTGACTGTGAAAGAGTCGTCTATTTACATGCAGATATCTTGGCCATTAGTGACAGTGAGGGAGAAGACAGTGGGGAAAGTACAGAAAAGGTATAATAGGAGGCTGTTAAAATCCTTCGATTGTGAAAGGTTCACTAGAATGTGGCAGTGGTTCTTTGCAAACTTTCCAGTAAGTCACTGAGAACAGATTCTTGTTATAGAACAGGCCCATGGGGCTGGTAGGAATTCTCTAAAATTCAAATTTTATTAAATAACCCTGTTTTTCTCTGGTGGCAATAGAAATGAATTCAGGGTATTCTAGGCATAGAAAAGTGGTTTGTTCAGTCCTTTCTGGCATTATGACAGGGATCCCAATTCCTTCCATCTTATAAGGCTATAGAGAGTTTGTTGCTTGTCAGCATTATCTTTGATTGCTTGTTGCAGTAACATAAAAGTCAGGACAGTGAATCCTGTTAAGGTGAACTGACTCTGATGGGGACAGAGGGAGATTTTTTGTATGAAATATAAAGGTAATGAAAAGCAAATCAAGACAGTTATTTCTAATGGCAAGCACAGTAAGATTTCAGTTTGGGGATGGAAAAGTAATTTCTCTTTTTTCTCCCTGGGTTTCAGTTTGTTAGGAAAGAAAAGGCTGAATACCTCTGGCAGGCAGCACCTAAGATTGCTAAGCTGTTGTTGTTGTTCTCCTGTAGCAGTCACTCTAAGGCCCCTATCTAGAGAAAGGCCCTGTTGTGCAAAATGTAGAATGCACACACTCTCTGTAACGATTTTGGCATTGAACAGCTCACAGTAGAAGGCAGCAAAGAGCACCCAGTGCACAGCTCCATGCACCCAGTGCACAGCTCTTCTCTGCAGGGAACAGACTTTTTGCCTACGCACAGTGCTGAGCACAAATGAGCTGTGATCTCTGGGCACTGCGGCCTGTGTGAATAACAATAACAATGATAATAATAAAACTTCTGTTAATTTACATTTTTGCTAATTTTACATCACGTCCTGTTGCAATAGTTCTGTGCCTTGCCTCGAACAAAGACTGACCATTGTGGCAACCAGTGTTTTTGCAGACAAATAGCTGGTCCATACTGAGTTGACACTCACCTTTCAGGGCATGCGGAGCTCTAAAGTAGAGGTAAAAAGGAAGTATGATGGCCCAGCAAGCACAGACAATAGTTAGGCTGAAGTGCAACCATGCTGCCCAGCTCCTCCTCTTATAGAGTCCTTCTGAGTTCTAGATAAATGCCTTTTTGTTAGTACTACCGTTGACTGGGCAGCTCTTTCCCATAATTTGTAGTAACATAAACGGATCTAACTGTGTTTCTCTTACTAGAATGGTCAGCTGACCGTACTCAGAGTGATGGTTTAGTTCTGTGCGCCCTGGGATGTGCAAGTAGCATTGATCACTCAAGCACACCTTGAACACCATGCTCTTTTTGAAAAGTATTATACTACTTAGTTCATAAAGCAGTAGATTAAAAAAAGAGAGAGGAAAACAAGGCAACTCAGGGAAAAAATGTGAGCCACAGTCACAGTATTAAAATTCCCTTTCTCTACTTTCTGTTTTGAAAAGCTGAGTAGTTTGCCCAAGTTAAAATTTTCCTGCTTGTATTTGTTGTTTCTCTCTGCCAGGAAGTCCGTCATCCAGTTAGACTTGGCCAACACCAAGAAAGCTTTGATCGTACCTGCTTTTGAGACTCTACGCTATCGCCTCTCCTTCCCCAAGTCAAAAGCAGAGCTGCTCTCTATGCTGGACATGGGAACCCTCTTCACATTCAGGTAGCAGAAAGTGCCTTTGAACCTGCGGTTGTTATCTCCAAAGTTTTTTTCACTATTCTGTGAATATTTGATTTCTCTCTCCTTGCTAGCTAGCTCCATTAAGAAATGCATTTGATTTTTCCCCCCTTTCATAGAGAGGCAGTGAACAGCATCCTATGTGGATATATTCCATCTGTAAGCTCAGCATTTTGTCTCGTACTATACTGCTCTACTGAAGGACTTCAGTTGTTAAATTGTATTTGTCTTATTTTCATTATTTTTATTGCACTACAGAATCAGGCGAGACCATTACACTCATGTGCATGTAGTTTGCTTTTGTGGCTGCCAAATATTATCCAGATAGTTGTATCAATCATTCATGTGTCCAGAAATAATTTCTCTCTGTTCATTGGCTCACTTCCTTATTGACTGACTAGGAAAACAAATGCAGGCTTGTCATGTGTTCTTTTAAAGTATGAAACAGCTGCTTAAATAGAGTTTCTCAATGCAGGAATAAAACAGTATGCCCTGACTATAAGTTGAGAAGCCAGGAACACCTAAATTTTGAGCTCTTTTCTGAAACAGTCTCCTGCTGAGGCTGTGAACAAGTCCTTTCTGTTATCTGCCACACACTCTTTGGTTTTAAAATGCGGCTACCAAGGGTTAGCTGTCTCTTGGGTGTGTAGTGAGGTATGATTAGTAGATGTTTTTAAACATCACAGTGGTGGGAAGAGTATAGTATGGCCTTATGGTATTGCACAGAAAAGGGCTTAAGAAACTTGAGTTCTCTTGTCAGCTCCGCTACTGCTCTGCTGGGAGATGGTATGCAAATTACTTTGCTGTCTTATGTCTCAATTCCTCGTCTGTGAAAGGCAGGTAACAATGTTCACCTCTCCTTTATACAGTACTTTGAGATCTAGAGAGGAAAACAGCTATAAAAATGCTAGATATTATCCATAGCCGAAAGAGCTCTTTTTTGCCTCTCCCGTCCATCCCTTACCTTAGAGCTTTTCTCACACTTCTCCCATTCCCTGTATTATACACCTCTCTCATTGCAACAGACACCCTTCCTTCATGTTGCTCTATGCAAATGTCGTAAGAGGCAGCCTGTGTGATCCGGAAGAATAGAATTCTGACACTACCTCTACCAGGGTCTGCCTTGAAATAGAAACTTGAGGTAATTGAGATACCGGGGAGGCATGCCTCTCCGGAAAATCATCCAAGTATACTAAGAGAACAAGCATCTTTCCCTCTCCAATTATTCTTTAACAGTAGAAGAAATACAAATTAACAAGAGATTTGTTGATAAAAAGTAATTGTTTCTCCCATAGTTGAAAGAAAAAAATCCTTCTAGTGGCAAGTAATACCCTCAGGATTTTACTTCTGAAGCTAAATTCTACCAACAATCAAATTTTCAGCCTGCACAGCAGCGGGTCTTCAACTACAGATTTAATCTTCAAGCTATACGGCACGTTGGCATGTTATGTACCCAGCCAGATTTACAGGTCCTTTCCCAAGTCTCACTCAGGCAAAAGTCTCTTTAACATCGGTGGGAGTTTTGCCAGAGCAAGGTTAAATAAGAATTGAAAGACATAAAGTCTGTAGTTGGTTTACATATTAATGTGGGACACATTTTACAAATACTTCCTTAGCTTGCTTTGGCTCATTTCATTGCTCAAATCTATCAACAGCCACATAGCAACTGTGATCTGGGGTGAGAATTTCCACCTCCACTTTCAAGGTGCTTTAATAACGCTGCAGTTCGAGGCTGAGCTGGTGGGAGTGAGCTGGGAGGAGGGCTGCTGTGACAGTGATTGCTGAGAGTGCCTGCAGCATCCTAGTCCCTCACACCACGTGGTAGATTACAATCTTTCCCTCAGTGAAATTGCTTTTGTCACCTCTTTTCCAAATGGTGACCTTTTCTGCCTCTGGGCAGCTAAGAAGTACAAAACAGCTCTCAATTACATCCCCCAGTCACCACCAAAAGAAAAAAAGAAGACACGTGCACATCTATGGCTGGCAAGGTATGCTGTGTGTAAACCCTCCACGGCAGTGGGATGCTGTGTGCAGTCTTGCTGGCTTTGCTGGTTCTGGCTGTGACTGTGCCTCATGGGGATATGCCCACTTTGTGGCTGCGTAGTCGCTGATGAACCACAAATTGTACTGCTGAGACTGCTTTCAGTCACAAGGAAAACCACAGCTGTTAGAAGATGCATCGTATTGAGAAAACATAATCAGCAACTGATTAAGTAATTAATTGATTGCATCTACAATCCAGCAAAATGCTTAAGCATCTGAGAACAGAACAAGGAACGTTTTTAATTCACTACGTCATTTTCTCACTGAAACGTGAAGCTTTGAGGGACAAGGCAGGGAGGAAGAACACTCTGAGAAGAATAAAGATTTCGTTTTGGTATCTTTACCAAAGTTTACTATAGCTTTGAAATTTTATTAAAAAAAAAGAAAACAACAGTACACGTAGAAAACAAGATGAAACTTCCACAACCTTTCTACAATTTAGAAATGCAGCCTTGAAAGGAACGTACGTTACTTGGGACCCCAGTGCTATCCTGATAACTCTGCCCTCCTGCACGGCCCCTGAGCAAAGAGAGTCAGAAAAACTGAACACCTCTCTGGTTTTCCAGTTATAAGCCATACAAATATAAAGCCAAAGTATAAGCTTCTAGATTTTGATTTTTACCTCTCTGTTTCTAGCAATGAAAAATGACAATGCTGTCAGAATTTCTGGGGTAGAAACATTGCCTTAGGTCCTAATTCTGTAAATAGTTAATGCTTAAATCCCTTCATTTTTAGCATATGAGTCATCCCTGTGAATTCAATGTACTTTACATTACACACTGGCAAGATACTTGTTTTGCCCTTTCTGTTACACATCTCAGAGCACTGTAATACAGATGGCCTGCTATGCCTTTGTTTCATTATTTAATCTATGAGTCTGCAGAAAGAGCCTGTCTCATTGATTTTTGGGAAGGTGTAAGAAGAGTAAGTGGGCGAGAGAATCATTGACCCTGACACTAATGGGGTGGATTCAAGCTATGCTTGGAAGGGACCTGCTGCGGTCTAAATAAGATTAACGAACTATAAAAGGATTTTTTTCTGTAAATCAAATTGATTATCTTACTCAGGACCACATGGGCACTCCCCACGATATAGAAAGTACAGCAGAGAGCCTTTATGTAGTGTTTTATATATTAACTTAATGAGGCACTTTGGCTCCTACCATAATAATAACAGTAATTAGTAAAAAGGAACATCTATCCAGAGCTGCAGGTGTCTCTCATACAAATTATAAAATTGCATATCAAACAGACCATGAATGTCACTGTGGTATAGAAATAGCTAGTTCTCAGGGGCCTTATCTGAGCTGCAGAATTTCATACTGATTTTAGAGCACTGTTACAGCCACTTGGTTGCTAGGAAAGAGAGACGGCACTAGCTAGAGCAGATGAACTGTCTGCGTACTTTGTAGTTGTTTCTCACACTAGCAGTAGCGTTAGGTAGTGTTTTCTCACTATCTTCACCAACTAGATACGTTTAAGCATTGAGCACGTAGAGGGTCTGGGAAGCCTGTTGGAAGTAGTCCTAGAAATGGTCTCTCATGTGTCCTGAAAAAGATGATGTGAACTGCGAGCTAATGTCCTTATTTCTGAGCATTCTATCTAGCAAGTAACTTTTTGTAGTCTTTCCAAGATGCATCCTATTTAATTGCTTCCCCACGTCCATGCCGTTAATGTTTGTTTAAGGTATCACGTCTGGACAAAAGGGCACGCTCCAACAAATTTTGCCAAATGGCGAACAGCCACCACCCCCTACCGCGTTGAGTGGGAAGCAGACTTCGAGCCATACGTTGTTGTGCGGAAGGACTGCCCTGAGTATGACAGACGGTTTGTTGGATTTGGCTGGAACAAAGTAGCTCACATCATGGAACTGGATGCACAGGTGAGGAGACAACTTCATATCTCACCGAGGGGCAGTGGAGTAGTTAAATATATCCATGTTCTGTGGAATAGATTTGGACTTTACCTCACCAAATTGCTCCTTTGGCCTTACTGAGCTCTTTAATGAGTTCTTTTTGAGTTGGGAACACCCAGTTTAGTACCTGTCAAGCGTTAAAAGGAGAACAGGATCTGAGTTAATTCATTTATTGGTGCTCAGAAATCTGTTGTCTC